AATTCAGTTAGCTGTGGTGGACATCTTGAATTGAGTCAACTGCAAAAGTTCATCGGTTTTAGATGTACATCTACTCATAACTTATATTTAAGTAGGGCCTCAGACTGCAACAGCACAGAAACAGCCTTACTTAAAGTTCATAATGACATTGCTATGTCTGTTGATAGTCAATCAATCAATCAATACTTTATTTATAATGTCCATTTCATGCAAGGCAATGCAATGTGCTTCATGACAAATCAATACACAGTGTCCTGTTATCCTAGTGTTATTGAACCTCGCGGCAGCTTTTGATACTGTGGATCACTATGTCGTCGTATCTCACCTAAGCCATGATGTTTGTATTAGTGGCTCAGTGCTTAACTGGTTTAAGTCCTACCTGACAGACAGATCCTTCTCAGTTTGCATCAACAATGCCTCCTTTTTCAGTGCTCTTCTGTCTTGTGAGGTGCCACAGGGTTCCATTATTGGTCCCCTCCTTTTTTTATTTATTTGCTACCACTGAGTGCAATCCTAACTCGGTATCACCTGTTCTTCCACTTTTACGCTGATGACCTTCAGATTTACCTGCTTATAAAACTGGTAACAGCAATATTCAACTCAAAACAGCAGCGTGTCATTTTTGTGGGGTTAGTTTTCAAATTTCTTAATTTTTGGTGAATCAGCCAGTTAACGTATTAGTTCTACTTCCTAATGAACTGAGTAAGATTAAATTAAAATGGGTCTTTTCAATTTATTGCAATCCGGATTTTTTATTTACCAAGAGTTTGTCTCTTTTACAGACCTACTAGCTAACTCTATTAAACTAGACACCATGCAGTTACTGTATCCGTCATGCTGTGGTGTTCTTAATGACTGTTTCATGTTGAAAGTTTTCAGTAGCATCAGCAAAGGATTATTCCCAGCAAATGTTTGGCCACCACAAGAACAACATCTAGACAGTTCCTCACTTTACAACATCTACAGACTAGTTGTGAGTTGCATGTAGATCCTTTGTAGATTGTTGCATCTTAAAAACAAGATGATGGCCACTAACAGGCTGTGTAAGTTCGAACTGTTCCTAAAGGGCGCCATTATGAAGATGTCAGACTTGTGAAAATGTTTCAGTGTCGCTCGCTTGTACAAGTCAGAATCTCACTACCATGTGTTTAGAATTATTTTAAAAAGAAAAAATAATATTCTGAGGCTTATTTCTAAAAGTTGATCAATGAACTTAACCAAATTTGAAAGTGTGCCTAAATTATCACAGTCTGTAGTCTTGTTTGGTAGAAATAGTTGACATTAATGAAACCATTAGACTTATAGATACTTCCAGAGGTCACAACTACAAACAGCTCTTGTTAGTGTGGAGTAAGGGAGGAAGCTGTAAGAAGAGTTAGCTGACATTCTGTCCAAATGGTACCAATTAATCGTAGTCAACACATTTGTAGATAAACCACAGCATCAATACTCTTTGGTATTCCCCCATATAATCAAGCCAGCAGCTGAAGGATGCTGATATACAAAAGGACTGTCAGACACTCATGAGATGCTACAGACGGACAAGTCTGTCTTTAGCTCCTCAGCATAATTACAGCCTGGGTGAAAAGTTTGGAAATGACAGGCAATTAGACTCTTAGACAGTGTGGAACTGAGGAGGACACTTGCTCCCAGCATGGAGAGCTGCTACAAGTGTAGCTCAAAGGTCTCTCACTCAAACAGCAAATCATTTCATGGCTGCAAACAAAACAAGTAACAAAATAAGCCACAAGGCTTGAAATTCTGCTAATGAAGATGTTTCAACAAGGACACTAGAGCCCATTAGATATTGGATTAAAGAAAGCAGATAGCTAACTGCACATTGTAAATGATGTGCAACCCAAGCTCCATATTGGCAGTGTGGACTGGCTGCCATGTCACAGTCTCTCATTAACAGGCTGGGCAAGCTGTGGGACCAGTCCCACGCCAGGACAGGAACACAAGCAGGCAGCCAACACAGGAGGAGGGGGCTCAAAGTAAAGAAGAAAGATAGAAGAAAATAATTATTTTATTTCTAAAGAAATCTGTGCATAACTCATTGCAAAGCATGTTAAAGTTAAAATTAATGACCCACTAGTTGTCACACACATTAGTGTGTGTGACATTTGTTCTCTGCATTTGACCCATCCCCTGGGGGAGCGGTGATCTGCAGACACAGCCATGCTAGGGGACCATTTGGTGGTATAATAACCCCTCCAATCTAACCCCAATTCTGCCACCGACTTGCAACACCGTCTCGTCTTCTTCTGCTTATCCGGGTCTGGGTCGCGGGGGCAGCATTCCAACAAGGGAGTTCCAGACTTGCAACATGGATGTTTTATCTCCACAAATAACAAAAATCCGGATGGAGGAGCTTCCGCCATGTGGTGATGTTGCTAATGCTAACGATTAGCTCAAACTAGCCGAGACATCCGCTGCTGATTCCCAAATGTTAAAACAAATTAGATGAATCCACAAATGCTAATTCAGTGTCATTTAGATCTGAGAGGATTTCAAAAGGCTAGATTTTCACTGTCATATCAGAATGTAATGCAGGAAAAAGGTGTAGAAGACTATTTTTGAGTTCAGACTGCATGAAAAAGAGTGACTGATTAATCAGAAAAGAACATTTAAAAATAGTTTTTAAGTCAACCGCACCTTTGACATAAAAACTGGAGGCGTTTGAGGCACGTTGGACCAAAAGCTAAGGATGTCAGAAGTTGCTTTAGCACAATTCTAAAATGACAGCACACTTCACAAATAGAAAACAGCACTTGCTGCCTTGTTTCCGAAGCTTTTGTGGTATTTTACAGACTCAAACTAAACAACCTGCAGATCTGAGCCTGCAAATGGAAAAGCTGTGCAAAGCGGAACAGGAATTTTCCATTCCTGAGTTATGGGAGGATTTTAAACACCCTTCATACTGACACCATGCTCCTTCAAACTCTTTCTGTCTCCTTTTAATGTTGGCCCAGACTCATTCACCCCCACCCACCCCTTCTTATTTTAATCTGCAGCTCTCCATTCTAAACACTACTTAGATTTAATGGATGGAACAACTTAACGACTGTGGATAAAATCACAGTCTGGCTGCTTTTATTGTGAAACTTAAAAGGCAAGGCCTTGCCTTTGACTGTGCTTGTTCGACTGCAAATGCGCAGAAAGCGAACCAGCAGTGAGGGACATTTTTTTACAACCACCTTGAAAACTAACACTGATAGAAGAGGCTCTCACTTGACTAAAAAGTAAAACAAGCAGATCAGTGTGTGTGGGATATGGGTAATTGGGCAGAACATATATTGAAGTTCTAGTGGTGCGCTGCCTCCATTTTTCCCAGCAGAGGATGAATCACACCATTGTCTGAGTCACTAAATTACATGAGTGCTATGAAAAACTCACTCAATTCAATTGCTTAGCAGAAAAGGGCAAATTAGATGGCCGTGGCTTGAGTGAACGAATTAGGTGTTGCACACTTCAGATGACATTGCTTAAGTTCTGTGACTGCTGTTTACATAATCAAATCAATGGTTTTCCTGCACAGTGGAGAGGAGGCATTTATTATAGCAGTTTCATTTACCATTAATACTAAAAGGCAAGAATCCCAGAGGTCAGTATTAATTCTCTGAATAATTTATGCATAGAATAACAATTACTGTTACACTTTATGTGCATGTGGCGTCAACTATCTGAAATGTTTACCAAATTCCATTTATCAGTACTTTATTGTGTTTCATCCACAACTGCATGTCCTTTAAAGTGATGGTGTGTATTGTCCTTGGAGATAGGGGGCAGTAGATACCTAAATCATTGCAAGCAAGCAGTATTTTTGTGTTGGAATAAGACCTTACCAATGGATGGCCATTAGGGACAAAAATACCTGGGAGTGCAATTTTTCAAATGAGTACTTTGTCAGATAGTTCAACCTCCAGTAAAATGACAATCAGACTCCTTTTCATCACTGGTAACAAGTGAAGAGGTAAATTTTTATGTAATGCTTATGAATGGCAAATGTTTTGTAATGTTTTGTTACAAGTCAGTAAATGCATTTTTGTCCTCATGGGCTCATGCAGAAGGAAAACATGGCTTCTAACATGGCATCACCCAAAGAGTTCCACCCACTCCCAAGTATTTTAGACCCAGGGGAGGACTGGCCTATCTGGCATTCTGGCACTGTCCCAGTGGGCCGCTTACCCAAGTGGGCCGTTTGCTCAGCTTGGGCCAATACGTGCGCAACCCCCACCCCCCACCCCGCTCTCACATTTGACGGCACCCCCACCCGCTCAGAGGGCCAACGCTCAGTAAAAATGCCAGGGTTGATTTATGGTTATATGTTCCAAAACTGCCAATATTTTTCAACAACTGGGCATCATTTAATAAATTTTCAACATTTCGATATGTTCAAAGGTTAATGGGAAAAACTACAGATTGTCACTTTAATGTCTGGTTCCAGGTCGCTTATCTTTGCATGTTAGACTAAGTACTAGAGGAAGGACAGATGTAAGGCGTGGCACTAAGCAGATGGTAAAAAACTATTAGAGCCTGTGTTTAAACAAAAAGGAAAAGAGTTTAGGGATTGAGAGGCGGACAAGGGAAAGTGGCTGGGACTAAACTCTCAGCAAAGATCCCTGAAGAGTTGAGACACGAGCACACACATCCCTGAGCATTCAGATCAAACAAAACTGAATAATAAGTGCTATAATTCAGCAGAGTGGCGTCCTTTCTACAAAGGTATACCTGCATCCTTACTCATGCCTAAATGAGACAAAGCATGGTGTTGTGGTCTCTTAAAAGCTATTTAAGGATGGCCATTTATTTTCTTCTGTCCAAAAACTAAACTGTGACCATGTGAAGATGAAAATAAAAAGATGCAACCTTGTAAAAAAGGTTAGTGCCCGACTGACTAAAACTGGTAATAACTCTCATCACCCTGGAGAACTTGGAGAGAACCTGAGAGTGGAAAACACAGCCCTGCTGAGAGTTTTAGGGGATATTTATGAACTCACATATATCTGGTGATTCATCTGAGCCATCCGGACAGTCCTTCTCCCCATCACAGCGCCAACCTTTGGAGATACAGGTCACCTGGTCCTTACAGGCAAACTGCTTGGGGTTGCACGTCTTGGGCGGGACATCAGGTTTTGGATCTGGGGAAAAAAAAAAAAGGTAAATCTTCATGGAAAAGTTTAGCTGGTAATTTTGTTTCAATAAACAAGACTTTTCATTTATTTTATTTTATTTTTTGTTGGAGCCTAAGCACAGTCTGGATAGAGAATAAGTCCAACTTCAGGTACTAAAAACCTAAATTCAGCTTTGTAAAGTAACATAAAAAGGTCAGACCAAGTTTAAAATTAAGTTTTTGTATGAAAATACTCACAGGCACACACGATTTTTATAAGCACCTTTACAGGTTTATAGCTAACAGTGATGCCTTGTATTTCTGGGTTAGTTTGTTGTTTTCACTTCTTCTTGTGGAAATCCAAATTCTGTCTGTTTTTTATTGCTTTTAAGGTGTTTTTCAACTCCAACCACAAAGGCTCTTTCATGTGTCACAGCTAAGATATAACTGGGCATTCAATCACCATCTGGCCCATGGGAAAGTGCAAAGCATGGCAGTTCTGGGCAGCAAGTCAGCACAGATTGTTGAAGTGTACTACAGGCTAGCAGCACTGCAGCAACACTCGTAACCCAGCAGTCGTCTGACACTGTTGCCACAATTCAACTAAAGAGAAAAACTACTTAGATGCAGCCTCAGTGCAGTATCAGCCAGTCAGCAGCATCACATTTCTGTGAATATTTTTAAAAATAAATGGTATCCAAATTTTAAATATATACAAATTTATTTGTTATTAGCGGCAGCATCTAGAGAAGTTACTCCACTGCACTTAAGACATTATAAAAAGATAAAAGGACTATGCATTGCTACATTTTTACTGCCATGTTTTGTGCTACACAATATTTGCAGCTTATCCTCCTGCACACATAAGAAATACATATTCAAGATACAGTAAATGGCCATATTGTGTGTTTTATTTATTTATTTTTTTGCACACACTCAATTAATGTTGCTTTACGATCACAGCTATACATATAAAAAATTTAAAGAAATATTTGAACATGAAGCAGTAAAGGGTATAATCACATAAATCAATAAGAAACATATTTATAATATCAGCTGTACTTTTATGTTTTAGCCAGACCAAAGTCCCATTGATTTACTGCAGCCAGCCACTGGGGGTGTTTGTCAACAACTGCATTACATTTCTATTAACATACATACAGTCTGTGACTTTTTACACCCACAAACCTCAAACAGTTTAATTAAATTTCATGCCAAGTGACTCTGCTATATGACAAACCTTATGATAAAATTAGCCTCAAATTTCTTCTTTTACTATTTTCTCATTTTTTCCTAAGTCTAGCACAACCTTTTTATGTTTATGAAGTAGGGATGTAAGAAAAAAATGGTAAATTGAAATATCGAGAATTTTCATGTTACGATACTGAATCAATATTTAACATAGTTGTATTGATTTCTGATTGAGAGTCTTTGTGTGGTGAAATTTAAACTCCGACTGCTAGGTGGCATCAGTTTTACTTTATTCATTCTAATGGATCGACAAGATCTCACAATAACACTGGATGTGTCTTGGAAGCGTCTGGCATGAGTTTTCCAATTAAATTCAATCTTTAAAATTTCAAATATCGTCTGGATTTTATTTTGCATCATCTTCCCATATCGTGAGTTCACTTCTTGTACAAAGGGAGCATTGGCGACAGTACAATAAGTGATGTTGTCCTAGGTAAATAATTTACACTTTCAGCTGACTTCATCTGCTATCGGCAGTTTTTTCCCAAACTTTCAATGAGTGTGCTAGCTTCACCACAAAGTAAATATTAATTATAGAATATAGTTAGTTTTGGTACAAAAGAACAAAACCATGTTAGCAAATGTATACACAGAAAATTCAGTCTTTCATATGTGTGGTTAAAAAAGCAGTTCAGGACATAAAAATAGACCATAGTGGCCATGTCAGTGGATGAGGTTGTTGTTCTGGGAAAGGACAATGTTGAAGGTCTCATTGTGATTCTCTGCAGGATCTGAGCCTTCACTCGCCCTGGATGGCTTGCCTTCCTATGTACTTGGCAGGCAGGGAGGTGTTTAGGGTGGGTGTTGGAGGGGGTGCACCGCAAGAGGGCTGAGATGTGACTGAAATCACAAGAGAGCACGGAGCTAGCGTTTCATTGCAATCACGTTCCCGTGACTGTCAGGCTAAGGTGGTTAGACCCCCGATCCTTTTATGTGACAGCGAAGCATGCATCCAACAATACTATTATCTCTTTTTTTGTCAAACTATTAGAGGCAGAATAGGCTGCTAGGATCAAAATGCAGCATACTCTTTATAAGAACAGAACCTTGATACTTGAAGAGATTAAAGAGTCAGAGTTAAGTTTCAGACTTTAGAGCAACAGAATAACCATCATGCCCAATGTTAGACACGACTGCTGCAGATGACTTGAAACCGGCTTTTAGACATAATTGACAATAGAAATCATAAATCTTTAATTTCATATTTGAGATATGACTGAAAGCAGTAGAGTAAAGCACAAACAGCACTGATTAGGTAAAGACAAGTGTGCACGCTCACAAATCTGTGAAAGAATTAAAAGGACAGGAAATGACTCAAAGCCAGCTGATTGGTTTGGTTTTCTGTCAGCGAAACTAACTCCTGCTCCATCTTTAATGACAGCAAATATCCACAATTCGTCTGTGCTTATGCGTTGTGATCTAATCTGCCAAAACAACCAAAAACAGACATTCTCAATAAGCCCTGAGCCGAAATGAGTAACAGCATCAAACCTTTTCAACAAGTGAAAGCAAGTGAAAGCATTCCTCTGGATTCTGGTTTGTGTGTGAAGCAGCTGGAGTGATCCAGCTATTCCTTATGAGCAGGCATTAAACTAGATAAAAAACATTGTGGGTTCTAATTATATCCTCGTTTTACCCACCAGCATGAAAATGGTCACAGAGGGGAGAACCTCAGAGCCTAAGTGGTTGTGGCTGATGAGGCGTTTGAGGACTGGAAGACAGACTGACAGAACTCCCCTTCAGCAGCCCTCTCTCACAGCAAACTGGAATATCGCTGACAGGGCTGTGAATTGTTAGTTCAGCATACAAAGATGACTTTTTTCCTCCTAAATTAACGACCCAAGCAATGACAGATTGTAAGATGTTCAAAGAGCCTATTGAAATGTTGCATTTATGTTCAGTTTTTTTAATGGCGAATAAGAACGCCCAACGAATTTAATCAGATAATAAAAACACTAATGCAACAAGAACCTAATAAGCGTTTCTTCTTAATAAAATCTTTTCAATTAAAACAATCACAGCCAAAACTGAGACGCTGTTTGAAAACTCAGCTGTTAATAAAATGGTAAAGTAATATCAGAATAAGCACACTACATTCCCAGCTAAAAGTGGAATATTTATATTTAGACCGCTGACTAATATCCATCCAACAATGCTGACAGCACTGATTAGTGATTACTAAAGGGTTATTTTCTGGCCTCACTGGGAGAAAAAATAGAACAAATGGAAAGCATGCTTCTTTCTTTAATGACCTTAAATAGAAGAAAGAAACAGCAAACACTGAGTTTCTTTCAGTTGCTTAATGTTCTTTGTAAGTTGGTGCACGTTCAAAGGCTCTACAAGGCAAGTATGTCAATAATTATATTTTAAGGAGTGGGTAACTCGTTTAATCAACACATTTGTGTATTGTGTAGTGGTCTCTAGTAGGAATGAATGCCTTGTAAGTCATTCCCGTGGGGAACCAATATACCGGCGCACCATTTCTCAGACCTAAAGGTTGCCAACATCCTAGAGGTTTGTGCCAAAGCAAACAAAAAAGGCACTCTGAACTTTTTGTCTATCCTCATAATTTTGGCAAATGAATAAATCAAATATTAGCAAAAAGTTCAGGGCTGAAGAACTGCAAATCATTATAATAAAGCATTTACTTGAACTCCTTCATAATTTAACAGAACAAACATTGAAATCCAAAGCCATCACACACCCAATGCTGTAAATCTTTAAGTTACTATACATTCAAGAATGTGTTTGACTTGATTTGACTCCAAGAGAGCTGCCAGACATTTGGAGCACATGTTGTATTTCATTACTCAGGTTCACTAGACCTCATCTCTGTCTAAGCAAGACACAACGAGCTGGCCTCAGGCACCATACATAGAAAAAGAGCATTGTACATGAGCGAATGAGCAATTGCATAAAAGTACAGTTTATGGAGACAGACTCCTCGAGCTTGATCGAGTGGTTTCAAGGCCATCTGTTCATCAACAAGAGGCAATTTAAGCTCTCTTTTGATGTAATCCAAAAAGCAATCTCAAAGGTTGAGAGGAACACTTTGGGATGGAACAATTTGAGGCGGTGAGTAAATATTGTTGTGGCACACCATTTCAGCAGTGATGGAGGCCTCCAGACAGCAACACCAGCTGGGTTGCAACATTGACCTATTTTTCTTCTTCCTGAATCTGTCCATCCAACTCCACAGATCAACTGCAGATCCACACAGAACATTCCAGAGCTTCTAATGGGTTTCATGTGTGGAACTTTACAACAAGAAAGTGCTATAAATAAACAGTTTGCATTGAAATTCAATGAGAAGACCTTTGACTCTTATATGTATAGGGTTTTGGTACGTTTTGATTTGGGATTTAAAATTTGTTTATCTGCTTCTCAAACTGAACCCATAGAAGTATTTAAACTAACCCAATGACATTGCGGATTATTCAGAGGTGAAGAAACAGAGCATGGATCTAATTAAATGCTGTGAAAAGACAACAGTACAAACAGGAATGTGAAATGCTGAGTAGAAATAAATAAAACCATGGTGCTGGCTGCAGAAACAATGACAAGAGAAAGCAGTGTTTCTCATCATAAACGACTTTGGATCTTTCTGGTTGGAGTGACAACACACCGAAACGATCAGGGGAAGAAACTAGATCCATGAAATCCAAGTTCAAAGGTGTTGTCACTGTGCATTTCAAAACAATGACCCTTATGTTGAATCAAAAAGGCTTTAACTCCTCAACATAAGAAGCAATGTGACACTGCAGTGGCCTTTCAGTG